ACACACACACACACACACACACACACACACACACACACACACACACGGGAACACACATAGCATAGCTGGGCTGAAACATTATCTCAAGGATATATGAGAGCTGTATATTAGCATATGAATTGCAAATAGGATGATATGAAAAGAAAAAATATATAAAATAAGACTCTAAAATTCTAATATGTACCTTTTCTATCTTACGTAATTTTCCAGTAGATAAAAATTCATCGATCTTTTCAGCAATTTTAGTTCCTACGCCATCCTAAAATATGATGAAGTTGACATTAAAAAGAACAAATCTTACATCAGACAACAAGCTCTTAGCATACAAACACACACAAATGTTTTCATTTCACTAATTTCTCCAAAATTTCTCAACTGTCCTTTTCAGCAGAGGAGGATCCATTTTCTGTAAAACAGAAGTATGAGATTTCTCATGAACCTGTTCAGTGAACACCTTCTTGCTAAATGGATTTAATTGTATTTATAATATTTAAAATCAAGCAATTTCTCAATGAAATTTGACTGAAATAGCCACCACATCAACTTAAAAACTCCCAAAGAACTTTGGGAAAGTCTTTATTCTTATTAGTTGGTTACTTACCAATTTCTTTGCTTCAGATCCACTTTTAATCTTGCTAGGGTACTTGGATATTACAGATGCTGCTTTCCTGCATGGGACAAGAAAAAAATATCTTCCTATTTGGGCAGTGCTGTCAGTCTATTGCAGGGATCCCCAACTCCTGGCTCACTGTCACTCGCACAGAACCATCCCCTCTCTCCCCCCCTCCCCCGCTGGCTTGCCAAGCCGGAAATGTTTGGGACTGCTGGTCTATGGCAAAAGAGTTTTCCAAATTTCATGACAGAATTCAAGAACATCCTCTTGCAAGAAAGAAATACTAGGAAAATTTCCAGTATAGTTTCTGATGAGAAATTCCATGTGAAACAGATTAGATGATTGTTCCCAAAATGTAAATCTTACCTGTAAGCATTATATTTATGAATAGCTCTGTTCACATTCTTTTCATAGTTGGCCAATTCTGAAAGAAGTTATAAAGAATAGCATAAATTAATATAAATTAACAAATTAAATTAACAGCATTAATTTAAATATGTAATTTAAAAAAAATTATATGGCCACATAACTCAATGACTTTGAGCAGCTTACAAGGTTTAAATCCCAATATAAAAACAATACAAAAAGCAATTCACCCCCATCCCCTTGGTGACAAATATGTAAGCATTGCATTTATTGTATTTATGAATCTGAAGAGGGCTTTGCATATGAAATGCCCTCGCGCTCTGATAGATTTGGAATGCTTTTGCAATGAAGAATGGCAAAGATGCCCAAGGCAAGATGTGCCAGGCTGATAAGCTTCTACCCCAAAAGATTGAATATTGTCTAAAAATCAAACGGTATTTCAACAAAATATTAGTTTAAGTTTTTGTGTGTTTATGCAACCATGTTATTGTATGGTGGTTGGTTTTTTTTCTTCTAAAGTGGTTTTTCCCCACTAAAAGATTTGTTTATTGAAAAATAAATTGAATCACACAGCTTATAATGAGCTGCTGTGGTGCAGTGGTTACAGTACATTACTGCAGGCTCCTTCTGCTGACTGCCAGCTGCCTGCAATTTGGCAGTTCAAATCTCACCAGGCTCAAGGTTGACTCGGCCTTCCATCCTTCTGAGGTTGGTAAAATGAGGACCCAGATTGTTGGGGACAAGAGGCTGATTCTATAAACTGCTTAGAGAGGGCTGAAAAGCACCGTGTAGCAGAGTATAAGCCTAAGTGCTATTGTTATCTTCCTTCCTTTACTCCCGCCCTCCCAGAAGACTACTTCTGTCAACTGCCAGCAGTTCGATTCTCATCAGGCTCAAGGTTGACTCAGCCTTCTGTCTTTCCTAGGTAGGTAAAACGAGGACCCAGATTGGCAAGAGGCGGACTCTCTCTGCTTAGAGAGGGCTGTAAAGTACTGTGAAGTATACAAGTGCAATTGCTATTATACACTACATTAAAGGTGGAAAAAATCCTGAAATGATTTAACTAGGATTCTTTCTTTATTTTTCTTTCCTTCTTTCTTTTTTTACAAAAACCTGGCCTTGTAACATAGGTGTGTTGATTCTCTGTGCCCAGCGTAGATTCAACAAAAGCAGTAAAATGTGGAATATTGTTTCACATTCGCCTCAGACCCAAAACCATCTTGCAATAGAAGTATACAAGGGGGCTGAAAAAGGGTTTGGGATTATGGCAGCAGCATCCCTAAGATGAGCTAGGAAACACACCCAGGGAATCAAAGTCTTCTTTTTAGTAAGAAGTTGAGGCTGTTTATGACAGGCCTCTCCAACCTGGGCCAATTGAAGCCTGGAGGACTTCAACTCCCAGAATTTCCCAGCCAGCCCAGGTTGGAGACCTCTGCTTTAGGACCTGTGGATAGACTTCAATTTCCAGAATTCCTTAGGTCAAGCCAGCAAAGGGAAGCTGGCTGGGGCATTCTGGGAGTTGGAGTCCTCCAGACTTCAAGTGGCCCATGTTGGAGAGGCCTGGTTTATGATGCCCCACAGCCCCCTTCCTGAGGCCCTTGTGCCGCCGAGGCCTCGCAGAGTCTCAGGCCAGCAGGGAGAGACCCAAGGGGAAGACACGGGCGCTGCGTCGCCTCAGAAGCCAACCGAGCCCTGCTTTCAGTCCCTCCCTGCCTCAGCAAGAGCACCACCGTCCCCACAAACCCCCGTGGCGGACCCTGAAATGCCTCTCGGGGCCCCCTCGACCGGCCCTCGGTCTGAACCGGCGGCACCCACCGCTGAGGAGGTCGGTGATGCCCTGGTTGGGGTTCTCCTGCGGCGCCTTGCGCTTGCTCATCGCGGCGATCCCCTCTGCACGTTCCTAGCTCTCTGCACGGACGGCGGAGGGGTGGGGAGAAAAAGCGAGGCGGAGGCGGAAGTGACGCATGCGGCAGCTCCGAAAGTGGGGCCGCCGGCTGACAGAAGCCCAGCGATGTGAGTGGGGCTGCGCGCCCGGCCCTGAGGGACCCCCTCTATCCCCGGTCGGTCTCTCCCGCCTGCTAACCGTCGTTGTCTCCTTCTTCTCTCCCCGCAGGGCGAAGGTTACCTTCAAGATCACGCTGACTTCGGACCCGCGCCTGCCTTACAAAGTGTGAGTCCCATGCCGCGGCTCGACACGTCACGTCGTGCGCATGCGCAGGTCCATTCGCGGCGGGCACGCGCACACGTCCCCCCAAGACCAGTTTCGGCATCAAGCCACCCCCTCTGCCCCTTCCGCCCCCATGGCCGGTCTGCAAAGGCTGGGGGCCCCTCTGCCTCGGAGCACCGGCTGCTACCCCGCGAGGGGCCCTTGGAAGGACGGGGAGCCGAAAGGAAGCCGGTTCCGGATAGGAGGCTCTTGGGATCTGCCGCAGCCGCCGTCCAGGCTTGGCAGACGTGGCAGGGAAGCCCGGAGGAGTCGCTCTCTGCCCAGGGATCTGCTTCCTTGCAGCCCCCGGCCAGCTGAGCTTCCTGCAATAAAATGTAATGCAAGCCCCCCCTCAAAAAAACCCCATGTGGTTAGATGTGGGGGTACAATGACAATAAAGATTATACTTATACTAAAAAATACCCTGAGCTTCCTGCAGTAAAATCAGGGGTGAAATCCAGCAGGTTCTGACAGGTTCTGTAGTTTGGAGAACCGGCAAATGCCACCTCTGGCTGGCCCCAGAGTGGGGAGAGAATGGAGATTTTGCAGTATCCTTCTCCTGCCATGCCCACCAAGCCACGTCCACAGAACAGGTAGTAAAAAAAATTAATTTCACCAGAATAAAATGTAATGCAAGCTCTCCCTCCCCCGCCAAAATAAAACAACCCAGGTGGTTAGAGGTGGAGGGGGGGGGTCAGGATTGTGTTCTAAAAAAGAGAGTTTTGGTGTAGAAATTTGTAGTAGTCAATTTAGAGAACTATCTTGTTTTTGTAGATTAAGTGTGCCTGAAAACACGCCTTTCACTGCTGTCTTGAAGTTCGCTGCTGAAGAAGTGAGTGGTTTTCAAAATGTCCCAATAGATGTTTTTTTAGCAACATGTTTTGTGTAAAAGATACAAAAAGATATTTTTTATTTGGCAGTTTGGAAATGGAATAAAAAGAACAAAATATAGAGATAGTGTCATTTTTCTTCTTGCAAAGCAGGAGTAGCAGGAATATATATTTTTTTAATCAAGAGGAAAGGCAAGGTATAATTCTATTCTTTTAACTTGTTGCATTTCTATTTGATTTAGTTCAAAGTCCCTGCAGCTACAAGTGCCATTATAACAAACGGTGAGTTTACACCTACATCTCACAGTACTTGGAAACTTGGAAGTGGTTCCACTATGCAAAGGTGCTGTTTCAAAAGGCAATTGGGCTGTGTGTGGGTTTTTTTTGAGGAAGAAAAAAAACGTTTTTTTCCTGAAGGAAAAAACCAGTCCAGTTACCTTTTGAAAAAGCACCTTTCAGACAACCATGATCTGGATGATTCCATTCCTTTTCATGGGATCCAGAAGGGCTATATATACTGCAGAAGAATCTCACTATCCTCTTTTAATTTCTTCCCCAGATGGAATAGGAATAAACCCTGATCAGACAGCTGGTAAGTGCCTGTAAACTTAAGAGTTATAAGAGTATTCGGTAATGAATTCTGTCGAGTACAGATGTACTGATATTAAAGATGTGGGATAGCAAGAAATAGATTTTTCCAGCGTATAACATCAATAAAGAAAGCAGCATGAGAAATCATCCCAACAACTTTTCTCAAACATTTCTGAATGCAAAATAATTACGTTAAAAAGTTAATTGGCAGGTCCTTGTTCTACTGGCGAATGATGACTTCTGCAATAGAATCTGGAAACCTAGAGATTGCTGATCTTTATCTGTGCAAATATGCTTCTCAGAAATTAGATTGGCATCTCCAGAGACACACATAGGAACACAACTGAGCATTTGCAGGTGTGAACAAGAATAAATGCTTATAAAGTTTTAAGCATTTCCGTGGCTCTATGCTTTTACATTATTGCTGCACAAAACAGCCGTTTACAATAAACTCATGAATTGATTGTGGTTCTGCTAGATCCAAGCAAACCGCAACCAATTTGGTTAATGTGTGGCTCAGATGTTCTGTGCGAACCCTGAAAGCTTTTTTCTAATTTATGATAAGTGATAAAATACCTTGACTATGTGTCAGCCTCTGTTTTGCTGCTTGCTTTCAGCTGCCATTGAAACTGGGAGGGGGGGCATTGTATGTGGGTGGGGAAGTGTCAGCACAGGAGTGACTGTAAAAGGGAAGTGTTCTCACCATCTACTGCGCATGCTGCAGATAAAAGGATTTGCCGCCAAAGCCAACTGTCCGGCATACCAGCCTGATGATGGTTTTTGAAGATGTCTCCCACATGACACCTTTGGAGTGTACTGATTGGACTATGGGCTGGGGTTACCAGGGGAAGGGGGTTGGGTCACATATAATATCTATGCTTACGCGTGCTTTTGCCTCAGACCTTGCTTTGCCTAGCTACTATCTACTCATGACCAGTAAAAGTACTCTTAATGCTGCAAAATGGAGTTGAATAGTTTCTTTCTTGGTTACTGAGCGAAGCAGCCTTGATATTAAGCAAGGTCTCAGACACGAACTCATCCCGGAGCTGATAACTTCCGAGGGGAGTGCACCCAGTTCCTACCCCCCCCCCCCCGGAACATGTCCCAGTAAGGCAGCGACCAGGGGGAGAATGAGGAGAGAGTCATG